TTGCATGCATTTATAACAAACCTGCGAAATGCTAGTATTTTTTCTTCCTAATCTGCTGGCATTTTCTGTGCAATAGTTGTTTTTGTGAGCATTGATAAGCCTTGCCTTTTCATGAACCTGTAGCACCAGCCCTCAGACCCTGAAACGTTCTGATTCCCATGTTTTTCTGCAAATCCTTTGGCCTCATTGATTATCATTTTGGGTTGAAACACTTATCCCAGATTTCCTCTTATCTATCACCCACATTTTTACGGCATTTTCAAGTTCAGGCCAAGATGGAGCTGGGCATCGATATTATGTTTTTGTTTTTTAGCAGTTTTCAGTTGATATTCCTGCAGTCGCCAAGTACGTATCATTTTTTTTCGGTAGGTGGTGGACCGAAATGCCTTGCTGCTGCTGTTTCCATGCACTTTGGCATAGTTTAACACTACTACTTTATACTGAAATGTATATCTTAATCTCTTGTTTCCTGTACTCATGTTTTCCAGGGTATTTTTTGTAAACAAATTGTTTTAAGCACCGATACCGACACATCTATACAGAGTAGCACCGATACCAACACGTGTGTCGGCTGAGTCAAATAAAGTCTATGTAAAGAAGGAAAGTCTCCATAGACGAAATGTGACCGTCGAACCTGTTCGAACTTCGACATCAGCTTCGAGTTTTGCCGCTTTTTGGCAACAGATATTTCACGCATGCGCAAAATAATTATGGAAGATGTAGAAAAAGTTATGTGTCTAGACCTTATCCGGGCTAAAAATAGCATTCAGTATTGAAAGTTAAGTGTCCTTCACGTATAAGACACAGGTAACGTTTTTGAGACCAAATTTAGGAAAAAAAGTGCGTCTTATATGCCGTCAAATACGGTATCCCCTCCTTTAAAAAAAAAAAAAAAATGTATATTGCCACTACTGTATCCGTGACAGCATCCACTCAAATATCAAATTCAGAATTACATAGTACAATTGCAGCTCTCCCTGTTTTATCATTAATTACTCTCCATTCTCTTTTAATATAAGCAATCCCATCTTTAACACAATACAGCTCCTGCAGAGCAATAATATCAGGTACCTCACCTTGATATTTTCAATCGCAGAGAGCCAGCATGCCGCAGCATTACAGTGGTTTAAGTTAATGTTTAAAATCTTCATTTTGAGATGGATGCCATATCATTTTTCAAGAATGAGGTCTTTTACATGACAAGCAAGTATGTGAAAGTAGCCACAACATGAAACTTGAAGTTAACGATGAAACCATTTGGAGGTGCAATGCTAAAAACTGCAAAAGGAAGGGCCTCCCAGATGGAAATTGGTTCAGTGATTCAAAAATATTGTTCATCACTGCTATTAGATTTATGTATTCTTGGACAGAAGAGTTGACGTCCATGAAATGGTGTAACAAACAGCTTAATATGTGTGAACAGGCTGCAGATGACTGGAACACTTATAATATGCGATAAAATAATAAAAATAAGGATTCTTAAAAATATCCTTAGGAAATTACAAGTATTATTGCTCTTATTATATATATTGCATTCTTTGTTTTTATATTTGTGCTTTACGAGGTTAGCAAAATTACAGCTGCAATCTTGGCGCAAATCTAAAATCACCAAATATAATTGGGGACCGCTATAACAAAGAAGCACCACACTTTCTGATTATACACCCAAGCCTGAAACGAATTCACCAGGCAATGCACTTTGTAACCAACATATGCAAATCATGACATTGCAAAAAAGTATTTATGTGGCAACCCAGTTATGCATGTGCCCACAGCACACAAGTGGAAATTTTAGCTTTTCTGGTTAGGCTTACCTGGATTAGTGTTTGATAAGTTTCTTCGTTTTTTATTTATTTATTTATTTATTTCTTGCAAAAAAATCATAATGGGACTTTGGAATTTTCTGGCTGATGAAAAAGGAAGCATTGCATTTCTTCCAAAATATGCCATTTTGTCTAACAGTAAAGAAAATTCACATTCGATAACACTGTTCTTCATAAATGATTTAAGTTTATAAGCTGATGCTGCAATTTGTGAATTTCTGATTTTCTTCAAGAAAAAAATAGATTGCTGTGCACAAGTGAAAATGACAGTCTGTGCAGTGTCAAGTTTCAGCAAGTCTCTCATATTTTTTTAAAGCTAAAACAGGTCACTGAGTACACAGGGAGAAGAGTAGAAAAAGGCAAGTGCTTTACTATGGATATTTCAATGTTTTTAATTTTGTTAATTGGTTGCTATTTTATGTAATTCTTAGTGCATTATCATTCTTAAAAATGGCTGCTGTCTTTTAATCTCAGACTAACAACTGGCGATTTTTTGGGAGGGTTGTGCGGTTAATCAGAAAGTGTCGAAAATTTTAATTCTGGGAAAAACTGTTGATTTTCAAAAACAATTTATAATAGTACATCAATCGAAATAAATATTACTTCCAGGGTATTTCAAAACAAAACTGAAAAACGAATTATACTAGATTGAAAAAGTGCTTATTAATAAAATTATAAATTATAACACATAATCACACAGTATACTTATTTTTAAGCTACATTACTTATTTTTGAATGAGAGTTAGACTTCTAATTAAAAGAATAATAAAACAGTTACATTTCTGATGGGGAAGGGAAACATTCTAAAGAAGGCTACTCATTCATCGGAGAAGGAAGCTTTAGTCGTTAAAACCTATAAGAGTAACGTACTTTGTTAATAAATGAAGCTTAACGTAATTCGGTCTGATAGCGAATCACCCTGTATATATATAAAGCCTGGAATATTTTTTGCAGTGTCTGTAAAAATGCATACAGATGTGAAACTTGAAATATACAGTACAAAGTCTTTAATCCAGACGTCCATAATCCGGACCTCAAAGCTACAAACTTTCTGCGCATGCGTAAACGCATTAATGTGTTTACGCATGCGTATAATACCTTTACTCATGTGCATATGCATTTATGCATGCGCATAATACATTTACGCATGCACGTTTAACGTATGCGCGTTAACGTTTAACGTATAAGCTAGGCTAAAATTATCTATTTCAGTTAATGTTGCAGATTGCGTTGTTCCTTAATCTTCTAATTGGATCTGGCTTATTATATTTTGCAGACTGTTAGAGCAATTTTATAAAAGTAAGCTTGAACTTTCAAAATTTCGAACAGCGGAACTTTGTAACTGAACAAGAAATTATGTCTGTTTATAGAATTAAAGAGAAAGTATTAGCACATAAAACGAAGCAACTTACACAACTTACTTTGAAAGAAATGTTTAATAAAGTAAACAAATAAATATTAAGGCTTTTTTTTTTTTTTTTTTTTTTTTGTAAATTTTGATACCCTTTAGATCATAATTGCTCTTTATTTCATAAATTACAGTTTCATATTTTTTATTTTATAATTTCTGCATGCCATCTTACCAGATTTAAATTGATGATCTATAATCCGGAAAAACCCCTAATCCGGAATCGCCGAAGTCCAGACGAGTCCAGATTAAAGACTTTGTACTGTATAAGGTAATACATTAAAGTATATATATATATGTGTGTGTGTGTGTGTGTGTGTGTGTGTGTATAAGGTAATATATTTAAAGTACATAAAAATAAAGTACCAGGCGCATTTTGGCATTAAAATCAAGAAAATATCTCTTTCTCATGGCACTTTTCAGAAATTTGGGCTTAATTAGTAAAGTTCCATAATGATCAGAGGGCTAAATGGTCTTTGTAATATAAAGAAATAAAGAAACTCAAGTTGTCTCAAAATTAAAGAAAAGCATTAAAATCGCAATGACATGACTCCTCTTCAACTGGTAAACAGACCTTCATCCGACATATGTAACTATTGTATATATGTAATGATTCCAAAATGCGTAGATCAAAACATTGGAACTTTAACAGCTTACGATAATGCGTAGATGACCGAGAAGACCATAGTGGCTTGAAGGTGGCAGAATAGAAAGCATGATGATGCAATTTAGCACAACATATCTTGAAAAATCACAATCTTTATTTTTTCCACGTATATCAAATCATCCTTTTTCAGAGAAAATGTTTCCTAATTATGTTTGAATACATAAATTGCATTTTGAATTAGAACATCATCTTAAGTATGTAAGCAGCATCAGCATGGTTTAAGAGCGTCTTGCTAGCAGGAGAGGTATGCGGAAAAAGGGACAAGTATCATAGAACTTCAGAGGAAGAAGGGCGCGAGTCGGAAAAGTTTCAGTTCAGAGTTTTGGTTTACAATTAATTTGATTGGAGAAGAGGCATCTGCATTAAAACGTTACGTAAGATATAACAATCTGGAACCTGTGAGAAGAGATGAATTTAGGGGCACATCACCAAATTTAGAATGTTAATTTTGAGATCACCAATTATTTTTTTTTTTTTGAAACAGATATCATATTTTGTTATATCTTACATGTATATTATATATGAATATAGCAAACTTTCCAAACTCAACAGTGTGATAGCTGTATTCCGCTTTTCCTTTTTCTTCCTCATTTCCTTTCGTCTCTCTTCAAATTTCATGGAAGTGAAAAAATTCCAAACTCATGCATGTCTTTCCCAATGCCTTTAATCTATTTCATTAAAGATTTTAGAGTCCGTAGCTCAGAAATTGCCAAAAACTGTTAGCATTTCAAATATATTTTATTTCTGATTATTATATCCAGAGATGCAGTAGCAATGCAGAAGGTAAGGCATCTAATGCATAGGTACAGATAATCCTGATTCTGGCTATTAGAGAAGACACTTATTCCAGTTACAGTATTATTAAAATGCATGTGTTAAAAAGATATGCTAATGAATGGCTGTAAGAGATGTTTCAGGCAGTACTTATTTTTAATTATTAAATAATATTCTGAAAGTGATTATTTTAATTCCTAATCTATTCAAACAAAGCATTTATTATCTATTTTTGAGCAAAATTAGATAAAATGAACTCTTGATAATAGTGTTTTTCATCAGTCCTACACTCATTAAAATAGAAGTCAACTGTATTAAAAATTCATACCTGAAAATAATTTGCTTCACAATATTCAGCAACTTTCTCCAAGTTAGTGTGGCTATCTTGAAGACTTTGACGTCCTTCTGGAATTTCACTGTCGATCAGCGTTATCAGATCTGTCATTATCGAAGGCATTTTTAACTCTGTAATCATAAAACAATAATTACTAATAAAGATATAAATAGAAAATTGCATTTAGTTATTACCAATGGAATGTTAAAATAATTTTTATACATTTATTCTAACCTTAGTCATAATTTAATAAATATAGAGGAAGTTAAAAAATAAATAAATAAATTGGCTTTTCATATTTATGCTGCATTTAGTAAAATAGTTATTCTTTCTATGAATATTTATAATTAAAGGGTTGCCACCATCAGTTAAATATTGCGCCAACTTTTAAGTTTGGCACTAAGTGACATCTTGTTAACAGAAAAGTTACCTTTACAGAATGATAAAAAAAAAAAAAAAAAAATAAGAAATAACATTAAACTTAATATCTGCATTGGGGGAAAAAACTAAATGCCAATCAACAAAAAACATAAAACAAGATAAGATATTGGAACTATATATTAGAACATAACACATTTTGAAATTCCAAGAAATAAGGAGCTATGAAATATCCATCTACAAAACGTGATCCCACATTTTTTCAGCTACCTCTAATAACATTTTCTGCAAATGCATGTAATAAAGAATTATACAGTACAAAGTCCAAAATACGGAGGTCCGTTATCCGGAATGATCCAAAATGCGGACCTCAAAACCATCAACAATGTTTTTTCTCGTAAACTTTGATGTGCATTTGATCCCCCCCCTCCACGCATGATAAAACATCTGTAGAGTCCCGATTCTTAATTTCACTTCGACACTAAATAAAATACCTTGTTATTGAAGAAACAAACATTTTAGCATAAATTTGTATGATCAGTAATTTGGCTCCGTTGCTGCGTATCTGCTTTTTGGCACACATCTCAAATCGAAACATTCCACATAGATACATCGTTGATCTGACGACAACCTGGCGAATCATTATTTAATAATACTCTTCTTTCATCACCGCATGTTTATCAAAACATGACAACTTAAGTAATATCTCATTTAGCGATGCCTAAACAATTTTTTATGTTAGTAATTGAATAATAATGGAGTACAGTAACCTTTTATGTTGACATTACACTTGGTGATTATTACAGATTTAAGTTAAATGCACTAAAAAATGTTGACGAGGAAAAATTTAGCAAAAATTTCTTTCTATATGCTAAAAATAGATTTTGTTGATGACACTCATAGACCCAAAGATTACATTTAAGGCTCTTTGAATTAAGAACAACTGATTTGTTATTCACATAAAACCAGAACCAGCACTATGGCTCGTATCGCCGCACCAAGTTGCAGAATTTAGGACCCACAGAGACTATATCAGGCGATAAGATATCTAGCACCAGCCCTCAATAAGGCTTCAGTATTAGTGGGAATTTATTTATTCAGAACTCTGAGAAGCCTTAAGCATGTGCAAGAAATAGACATAAGTATAATAAATAACTAAAATAATACAATTCAGGCTTAATTGTCTCAGTGTGCGATAGAAGCAAGATAAAATTTAACAGAACAACTTGTTGTTAGTTGCCAAGCTCATGATGCATAGCCAAATATGTATGGTGAAGGATAGCTAAATTTGATGATGATAACCACTAATTTTAAAGATTTTTGGATATCGTAAAACAAAGGTGAAATTTTCCAATTAGCGGATTTTGTAAAGAAATGTGGAGAAGCGGTAATAAATGAAGATGATATAAAAAAAGTTTTCATTGTGATGACAATCCTTCTCAATCATCAATAATTAATGAATGGGCGAAATCTGTCACATAGTTCTAAATCCAGAAAATACCACTACCGATAGTGAAGAAAGTGATAGAGTAGTTACTGAAAACGAAAAACTTTCGACTGACAAGTTAATCGAAATTCTCGACACAGCAGTTACAGGTCTCCAACAATGTAACTAAACAAGAGATAGTGTCTGTCTACACAATCAAAGAGATAGTATTAGCACAAAAAATGAAACTTACATTGAAAGAAATGTTTAATAAGGTAAACAAATAAATATTGAGCTTTTTTTTCTTTAATAAATTTTGATACCCTTTAAATCATAAATACTTACTTCATTATTTCATAAATCTTGATTTCGCATTTTTAATTTTAAAATTTCTGCATGCCATCATACAAGATTTAAAATAATGATCTAAACTCCATAAAAATCCCGAATAGAGAACTGGCAAATGAATCTAGATTTTGGACTTTGTACTGTAAATAGGAACTTTAAGAGGACTTCTCTAGAAAAACCTCTCTCATTATTTCAGCTTCTTCTAATGAACAGCTCATCAAGAAATTTGGTACTCTTCTGTTTTGAGGTCCGTAAAAAAATTGCAGCGAAAATGTATGCGCAAAAGCTCCAAATCTAGCAAACGTGGCCATTTAACAGCAAGCCAAGCGTACGCGCTGGTTTCAGATTACATAAGTTTATATAGTTCTATATTTCTTAAGACGCCATTGAAATACTAGTTTAATTTTTAAATCTTTTTTGATATCCTATGGATTTACAATTTGGGAATTGCCCTTGATGAAAAGTCGGCAATAGGATTTTGGGTAAAGTGCAGAATCACTCACTGCTTGATGCATTTTTAAGAATTGCACATACTCGGTATCCATATGCACATCGACCTATTTTCACTTAAAAAAAAAAAAAAATCCCAGAATTGCACAAAAATGGCACTGCGCACTCCCTTAACTTTATCTATGTACACATCGACCTATTTTCATTTAAAAAGTAAAATAAAATTGACAAAATTCCAATTGTTTTTTATCCTTGTAAAAAGCGTCAAACAAATAAGTGAGCAATTCTGCACTTCTGAATTCCGATTCTGAATATTTTCAAAGAAAAAGCATCATTCATTATAGAAAATTATGTTTGAACAACCAACAAGATGAAATTATGCTTTAGCAATAAGTCGTTAATGAAATAGTGATGCAGGCATCCATTCAGTTACGTTTTGCAGTTTTTATATAAATTATAGTAATGATCTGAAATAGTTATTTACCCTTATGCTTCCATTCAGTCATGTTTAGCCTTTTTCATATAAATTATAATAATAAAAATGTATTATATGAAATTAACCTTTCATCTAAATAAAAACATCAATCTTAGATAGTTATTAACTATTATACTTCCTTTCTTGGCGCAATTATTTTTGGCAGCATTGGCATCAACAATAGTTTGGCGATTTTTTACGGCCCTCGAAACCGAATAGTACCGGAAATTCATACGAAGAAATTAAATTCTTTATAGCAGTAATTTCAGATAAAATTGATGTTTCTGAACAGGTTTAGAATTTGCAAAGGACAATATTAAGAATCTTACTAAAAAGCTCACACCAAAGAAAATAAAGCAATTTTTAACTGTACCTTTTTAATAGATAGTACAAACTATATAGTGATAGAAAATTTTTTGATGCAGTTTGGAGTTTAGTTTATAGTATTAAGCAAATACGAACCAAAATAATATAATTTAAAACTTGCAATATTACTCACATGCCAAATTATATAGATTAAAAAGAAAAACTTAAACATAAGCATACAAAGTTAGTAGTATATTTTTTCAAGAAAATACATGTGTACTCATTTTTTTTTAATTTAATGCAAACTTGAATGTGATATTTAATAAATACACGTAACACACAAAATGTTAAAAAAAAAACTTTTCGGACGTAATTTAAAATCTGAAAACTTTCAGATTTTTTTTTAAACTATGGATGCTCATTTAATAGAGGAAAGTGATTTGCTATTGTCACCAGTAATGTTATTAATTGAAAGACTTAGTTATTTGATTCGGCCTTTTGGAATGATCAGCGATATGAATGTGTATTACAGAATTATCGGTAAAATCCTAGTATACGGTGAAGCCTTGGCGCGATTTTGAAAATTATCGCCAACATCAAAAATGACCCAAAGAACGTCTATGTATACAGTCAAAAGTCGTTAATCCGGACTCGTCGGGACTTTGGCGATTCCGGATTATCGATTTTTCCGGATTATAGATCATCAGTTTAAATCTGGTAAAATGGCATGCAGAAATTATAAAATTAAAAATATGAAACCGTAATTTACGAAATAAAGAACAATTATGATCTAAAGGGTATCAAAATTTAAAAAAAAAAAAAAAAAAAAAAAGCTTAATATTTATTTGTTTACTTTATTAAACATTTCTTTCAATGTAAGTTGTTTAAGTTGCTTCGTTTTTTATGTGATAATACATTCTCTTTAATTCTATAAACAGACATAATTTCGTGTTCAGTTACAAAGTTCCGCTGTTCAAGTCCTATAATTGCTGTGTCAAGAATACCGACTAATTTGTCAATCGAAATTTTTTCGTTTTCAATAACCTCTGTCACTTTCTTCGCTATCCGAAGCGAATTATAATGACGAGGCATTTAAATCATATCAAAGAGTACATCGAGATGAAATACTACATTTGAGTAAGGAAATTATAAGCCAAATAAAATAAAAACATCTGCTCTTAAGATAAGGATAGTGCTGACAGATCAACTTCCAATTCATTGCACGCCGCCCGGTGTTAAAGATAACAATGTTTAGATAAACAAACGTTAACGTTAAAGTTTACATAAACAAAGGATATGCCTTTATCCATTTTTTGCAGCAATTCTTACTTTTGTTTAATGGACTCCGAAAGATACTTTCGCTTTGTATATCCTTTACATATTAGTAAATATATATCGGAAATTCTATTTGACATAATCGAAAGTTCAAGCTTACTTTTATAAAATTGCTCTAACAGTCTGCAAAAAATAATAATCCGTATCCAATTCGAAGATTAAGGAACAACACAATCTGCAACATTAACTGAAATAGATAATTAGATAATTTTAGCTTAGCTTATCCCGTCCGTTATACATTAAACGCGCATTCGTAAACGTATTTTGCGCACGCGCACACGCAAATTCGCAGCGATAAAGGTCTTACGCGCATGCGTCAAAGCGACGCATGCGCAGAAAGTTTGTAGCTTTGAGGTCCGGATTATGGGTGTCCGAATTAATGACTTTTGACTGTATTACATACACTATATACTATCACTATATACATAGCATATACAATGTATAGCTATATATATTCTTTGAATACCTGTTTACTACTCATCGTATATGTCCCGTTCTTACAGCTCATAAAAGTAGCCAAACCCCGTGTGCACCGGATACTAGGATTAAACCGAATTATCTTTAGAATTTAGAATCTGAAGGTGTGGAAAACTAATGCTCTTTATTTATCATGTAATTAAATGCAAAATTATTACCGTAATTTCGCACGTATAGTCCGCACCATCGTATAGTCCGCAGACACGATTTTATATAAAAAAAATTTCAAAAATCGTCAGACAGTCCGCACCACTGGATAGTCCGCGGACTATACGTCCGAAATTACGTTTTTTTAATACGGCAATATTCCCATGCTTTTTAAACACATCCTTTTGTTTGCGCCAATTTCTCACTGCTTTCTCGTCCACTTCAAAATAACAGGGTAAAATCCTAGTATACGATGCAGCCTTGGCGCGACTTTGAAAATTATCGCCAACACCAAAAATGATCCAAAGAACGTCTATATATATATAGTATACACACATAGTATATGTATATACACACATAATATATATACTATATACTATGTTTAACTACATATTTTCTTTGAATGACCCGTTAACTACTCATCGTATATGTCCCGTTTTCACTGCTCATCATAAAGTCGCCAAAAGTAGCCAAATCCCGTGTGCACCGAATACTAGGATTAAACCAATAACGGCCCGCTTCTCTATTTCCATCTTTGTCAACTACCTTGAGTTTAACTCAGCAGTAAAACTCCGGCGATGTTTCATCAACGTTATCGAAGATGAAAGACAAAATACGAAGACAAAATACGAAAACAAAATACTGTGCAACGTGCTATACTCGTGATAAGTGGTAATGAAATGTGACCTTCGACCCCACTCACTCGGTGTTGCCAAACCACGCTATAAGTAAACGAATCACGCTTTTTTTTTTTTCGTACTCCAGGTACTTGCTACTATGGCTCCTAAAAACCGAGTTGACGCATCAACTACTTTTCCCCCCTCCTCGGCAGTTGCGCTAAAGCAGTGCGAAGGATACTGGGATACAACACTCTGGTTGCGCTAAGTGAGTGCTCATACAAGACTTTCTTTGGCTCATATCTCGGCATCGCTTGATGCGCCAGCCTGGATTTTTAGGAGCTCTACTTGCTACTACTTATTCATTCTGCACTATGCTCTTTAGTTTACTATCGATACGATACATACGAATGTTTTCTTGGAATCTCGCGCATTTTTTATATTTGATCATCGGCAGTTCACGACAGTGTTTTTTAAATTTCAACGATTTTAACCGTGAACAACCAGCGTATTATCCGCACTGGTGGATAGTCCGCAGCTTCAAAAATTCGCATTTTAAACACAGATAGTCCGCGGACTATACGCGCGAAATTACGGTACCTACATGCTGCTTATTTTACACTTTTCAATTTTCTGACATTTAGAAGTTGCCAATTCAATTTGATGGAATCATATGCATGAATATGGGATGAGATGCAGGTAATACCAATATGCACAAATGAATAGGTTTTCTAATTGCAAGCAACAGGCTTTCAGTAACTGTAAGTATGTAGGTTGTTTTTTTTTTTTTTTTTCAACCTCCGATTGCACAGTATGATGGCCAGGTATGCGGCAGATGGTTGGTGTGCGTAGTATGTGACTGCGCATCTCCCCCTCTACACACTCTGTCACTGGCATATTCAACACGCCATTTTCTGTTGAGTTGCAGTCACGTAAACACGGCTGTCGCTATTGATTCTCCCGCCAAGTGTGAATTGCGAGCTGTTATTTATTTCTTGAGGGCAGAAAGGAACAGTGCAGCGGAAATTCATCGAAGAATGAATCGAGTGTATGGAAACAGCTTTATGAGTGATTGCGTTGTTCGTGAATGGTGTCGAAAGTTTAAAGATGGCCGAACTGATGTGCACGATGAAGGGGGTCAAGGACGCAAGTCTGTTGCTACAGACGACATTGTTCAACGAGTTGACCAAGCGGTTAAGCAAAATCGAAGGTTCACCATAAGTGAATTATCGATGAAATTTCCGGAAATTTCAAGATCTTCCCTGTATCGTTACTGAACAGTTGCGCTACAGAAAAGTTTGCGCTTGCTGGGTCTCACAGATGTTGAATGACGACCACAAAACTCGTCAAATGGTTGCAACGTTTGAGTTTCTTGATTGTTACAATACTGTTGGAGAAGAGTTTTTGAAATCCATTGTGACACGTGACGAGACATGGGTTCAATATGACATGCTCGAAACGAAACGATAATCACAACTACGGATGCACACAAATTCTCCAAAGAGACCCACAAAATTCAAACGAACCTTTAACAATCGTAAGGTTATGGCAACTGTTTTTCGGCACCAAAAAGGTGTGTTGCTTGGGGAGTTTATGCAGCCTGGAACAACAATTAATGCAGACTCATATTGTGAAACTTTGCAATGCTTACGGAGAGTTATTCAAAACAAACGAAGAGGCATGCTGACTTCCGGAATTGTTCTGATCCACGACAAAGCCCATCCTCACAGCGCTCGTGTAACCCAACGGTTCCTTCAGCAATTTCAATGGGACATTTTCGAACATCCACCATATAGTCCCGATCTAGCGCCGAGTGACTTTCATCTGTTCCCTGAACTGAAGCAGTGGCTTGGCGGGAAGCACTTCCAAAATAACGTGGAGCTGAAAGAAACTGTCACAACTCACTTCCAATCATTGGCGGGGACATTTTATGAAGAGGGTATTGCAAAGCTTATTCACAAATATGACAAATGCCTCAATCATCAAGGTGATTATGCAGAGAAATAACCTGTATTGTATTTTGGTAATAAAATCTTTTTTGTATATTCACCCGTCTTTTCTTTACAGCCCATCGGAGGTTGAAAAAAAAAAATAACTCTCGTACATACTTATCTCTAATAAATATCTTCACTAAGTAATAACACCTATTTATTACAGAAAACTGAAATGATGGTTAAATCTTAAATGGTTCAGTTTACTTGATTGCGGCAAAGTTTACTAAGGCTATCCATCTAAGGGAAGGAATGCTCTGATGGTGGACTTTGTAAAGGAAACTGGCTTGTGTCTACATCGCACATGATCAAACCTCGAAAACACCCTTGCAGCCAGTCTGTTTGCCTGAAATCAAACCCAGGTAAAAAACATTGTTTAGCAACTAGGCGAATGGTAGGTGTTAAATATTCAGTAAAAATAAACATTAAAATATAAAGTGGCAATAAACAGAATGGGGGAAAAAACTATTTCACAGTCAACTACCAGGTACGTAACTATGAAACCAAAATTTGCCCACAGATGGCAGTAGATGTCGATGTGGCAGTAGCCTTCAACCTGCATCAATGGCACCATTTTATTTCTTCAACAGCTGACAAAGATTTTTGACTCAAAACAATACAAGTTTCATATAACAGAATAGTTTTCATAGTTTTTCTGAGCATATCAAGTTTCGTGCCTACAAATTATGATTTGCAGACAGCATTAATTTTCCGTTACCATCTAAAGAAAACTGCGGCAGAATCACATTGAATTTTTGTCGAAGCTTAAAGTGGGCCTGCTCTTGGTATATCACAATGTTTTGAGTGGTATAACAAATTCAAAAGTGGCGATTTTGACGTAAGAAATGAAAAATGTGGAAGACCGCCTAAAAAGTTTGAAGACAGTGTTAGATTGCTCAAACCCAACAAAAACTCATGAACCATGGACATTTGAAAGCCATGGGAAAGATCCAGAAGGTGGGAAAATAGGTTCTACATGAATTGAATGAAAGAAAGCAAGAAAAGCGAAAAACCACTTTAAAATGCTGCTCATCATGTCATTTTCCTCAATCATATTGTGACAGGTAATGAAAAGTGGATATATTTTTAGAATCTAAAGTGTAAAAGATCATGGGTAAATCTAGGCAAACCATCAACATCAATTGTGAGGCCAAATTGCTATAGAAAGAAAACAATGCTCTGTGTTTGATGGGATCAGAAGGTGTGATCTCTTATGAGCTGCTAAAATCCTAGTGATCGATTTGAATGAAGCATTGCGCAAAAAATGACCAGAATAAGGCAACACTAACTGATTTTGCTTCATGGTAATGTACCATCACACAAAGCAAAACCGGTCAAAGAAAGGACTGAAGTGGTCATTTAGGAAATACTTGCCCACACGTCTAATTCACCAGACTTCGATCCTCCAACTACTATTTATTTAAGACACAATAACACGCCGAATAAATACTAATTCAGAAGTCAAACAACAAAAATCAGCATTATACCTACAAAATTTTCACAACTTTACTTTGTGAAAATTTTGTAGTATAATGCTGATTTTTGTTGTTTGACTTCTGAATTACTATTTATTTGCATCGATGGGACACACACTTGCAGAACTTCCACTTCTTATGAAAATGTATAAAAAATGGCTAGAAGACTGGTTCTTCTCAAAACAGCAACAGTTTTTTTTTTTTTTTTTTTTTTTTTTGGTGTGGCATTCTTAAATTGCCAGAGAGATGGGGAAAATATATGTATATATATATATATATAGCAACGGACATTATTTCAAATACAATATTTTTTATCATTTTCATACAATAAATCTGTATTCTAAATACAAAAATTCCGGTTTCGTGTTTACACACCTGGTACATCGAATGGATAGTAAATGTGAAAATCTTGCCTACGGCTCTGTCGACAAAAGACTATAATCACCCTATGGGCAGTGTTTACATTCACAATGCTCTCTCTAAAAATATTTACAAATAATTGCGATCTTGAAAAATAACAGATGGTAAACTAACAAAAATGATATTACAAATACATAGACTAATACATTTAGAAATCTGGTGGCAAAGTAATTTGACAAGGCAACATGCTAAACATCTGCCAATACAGATATTATCACGGAACTATAATTTGTAAACTTGTAGAGTATAAGCATATCATAATTCGATAGAACATGGATAATTTATTCCTTATATATCAAACAATGAATAAATACTACAATATTTAAAGGACTTGGAGTTATACTAAGTTTGTACCGATGATTGAATGCGTTACCACAATTACATATTATCGATACATTATGTATGTTATTTATCTAAAAGGATGAAATGCAGAAAATTAAAAGAACAATGAAATTATGAAATTAAATTTTAAGTAATTTGACAGATGAGAAAATGTATGAAATTGTTTCTGTAATAAAGTTTTAAATGGATGTGATTTACATAATAAAAACAGAAGTAATTTCAGTTTAACACCACGTTCCCAATGCATTTGCATTTCCACCAAATCATTACACTAATAGCAACTTAAGCGAGAAAATATAATAGATTCCAGAAAATACCTTCCAAATACTTCGATTTCTAATCGTCACGAGTAAATAAATAAACAAAACATCAAATTTCTCTGTTGGTTGTGTTTTTTTTATATATATATATATATATTGCGCATGCGCTTAAGCATGGATAAAGCTTTTTTGAATCAACGCTTTCCGGATTTTAGAATTATTAACAGCATAAAATAATAACGGAATAAAATCGTGTAATGGGAGTTTTTCATCTCTAAACTGATTGTATATAATTTGATTTCATTTCTTGAGGTACATGTGCATATTAAATGTTAAATTTACTGTTTGAGGTTCAAAAATTTTTAAATATCGCTATACAAAATTTATGTGCTTATGTAGCTAATATTTGGCAACAGGCATTGCAATATAATTTGGCGGATTTTTGAAAACGAAACTGATCATTTTAATGTAATTCAAAATTATTAGTATTTTTTATATTAGACCATTCGGAAAATAGCTCCCTCTGTTAAGGTATAAATATAGTCTTTGATTCATGGGTCTGTGATGGAAAATAAGCGAACTGCATCTGTGATAGCCGCAGAGAAACTTCTTAGTGTTATATCTGCAAATCATACAACTGATAATTTTATTTTGTTTCTCTCAGAATTGGAAAGAGTAAGTGTTTATTGAAATATAAATGTTTAATTACTTGATTAATATAGGTCATACTAAGTAATTTATTCGAAAAAAATTAAAATAATAATTATGTCTTGCAGAAATAATTTTCACTGTTGTGCTGTGTGCATATGCTATGAACTACCTGATCTTCAGTGACTTTTTTCTAGCATTCTGACTACACAAAAACAAAATAACAAGGCAAAGAATTGCACAAACTCATTACCGGTCAATGTGTACCGGCAAAACGGTTACACATTGACCTATTTCCACTTTTAAAAAAATATCACAGAATGTTTTTTAAATGTAAAAAATTTGTAATTATGTGAGTGATTTATGGATACACAAACGCACACACACAAGGATAACCCAGACGGTGATGGACTTCTCTTTCAAAAGCATCAGAAAGCAAGGCAAGTGCGTAACAGACAAAAAAAAAAAAAAAAAAAAAAAACTATTTCTGTTAATAATTAAGGAATTATTGGGTTTTCATTATTGGGTTCCCGTTGGCGCCGTTGCATTTTTACTCGCCAAGCTCGCGGTCCATCGACGATGAGCCGAGCTGCAAACGTGATATTTTGTAAACATGATTTGTAGTGCATTTAAATTCAAGTTAGCAGACAAAACAATATATTAAGCATATGATAGTAAAAATTGGTTGATCTTTACATTATGGTAACTTGGCGATAATTTGGCGACCAACTCTCCTACAGCAACCCTCTATTTTTTTTTCCCGCCGCCATTTTGTCTTCACGAAGTAAAGACATGTTTCTTTTCTTTTTATCTACTGAACACTTCTTCCAACAATCTACTGGCCGAATTACACTTATGCTAGAAATTTATCAAACAAAACTGCTTAATCATGACAAATATTCACTGCAAAATTGGGAAAAAGTGCACAGTACCATACTCCTTACGCGTTTTCAAAATAACACATACACATAAACCATGTACACGCCGACTTATTTTTACTTAAAAAAAAACATCCCAGAATTGCACAAAAATGGCACTGTGCACACTCTTCACTATATCCATGTACACTGCTTTTTTCTCATAAATTAGAAAAAATTTCACGAAAATACATGACAATTTTCTCAATCTTTAAACCCGGTAAAAAGAACATATATGAAATTACCTGATCGCAAAAAGTATTTACCCTTTCCAAATATGAACATTTCCACATATAAAATAAATAAAATATCCAAAAACTTTTACCTCTAAATCATCTATTATATTATAAACGTCACCAACGAATTCATACCGCAACCATTACAAAATACTTAGTGTCAGATATTTAAATTATTTCCATGCACATTTACTTCAACTAAAACGTATACCAAATTCCTACAACATAAAATTCACAAAATAACTATCATTTAATTAAAATATAATTAAATTCAAAAACAGTACTTAAAATATAAATGAGCACATACATTAAATTAATAAAAATTACCTTACAATCCTAATTACTTTAAACTAAATCATTGCTAATAACAATTTTCCCAATAATACCAAATTCCTTTACTTCCACCTTACATTTAGAACAATGCATAAAAATAATATCCTCAAATAATTAAAAATACTAACTTACCTAATCTTCTTCAGAATCTTGATTACGTGTCCGATAAACTTTTCTTCTTTCTGTTTCAGGATCTTTAAAATCATACTTATATTTCACAGCAAGGTACCAGGTAAAATAAATAACTTAATAAAACATCTTTATTTCTATCTCGCACAACCTTAAAGAAACATTTATTACTACCCTTTTCAATACCACTAAATACCCATTTCGAATTCACTTTAGTTACGGCCATGGGATCCAAAAATTCACGAACACTGTTTCACACAACACAGAATAAAGCCAAATACAAAGTTTCCAGATTTTTTCCCGATTTCCCCCCTTTTCTGATTAAAGAACCGTAATTCGTCCATTAATATCACATGACATATCCCATGATCTCTCATTTCCCTCATACAAAATAATGAGTAATCGGAACTGAGTACTGCTCACATTATTACCAAAGTCCCAGGTAGTAACCTTTATCGCCTCCAAAATATCGCCAAACTACCAGTTACCATATTGTAAAGATCAACCTAAAAATTCACAGATAATAAGCATGTAGATGTAAAACTAACTGGTTAAACGTGATAAACGAAAAAAATTTGTCTTAAATTCCAGTTAACACAGAAAACAATATATTCCTTACACCAGCAGTGTTTTGCTAATTTTGATGACCATGGTGATGCATCAAACTATTCTGTCATCTTAGATAATCAATAATATTTTGTATTTCAATTTAATCATCTATTTATGTCACACCTGCCATCCTCTGAAAGGTTATTGTTAGAAAAGCATTATCAATATATTATCTTGTTAAAATTTTACACCAGAAAATTGATTTATTCTCATAATTTTAGATGACAATAACCAATAATAAAAATAAAAGCATTACTAAGTTATTTAAATTGCTGGTTCTTAGAGCTGTTAATAATTAAGAACACAACGTGAACAGCCGTGTTACAAATGAGCATTCACCCCTCCCGCCGTATTTTCTTCCTTTCATCCTGAAACGAGAACCGGCATCTATCTACGAAAAGATTTCTATCTATTTGTTGTTAAAAAATTGAGAAAAAATAATAATAAATAAGAGAAGAATAATATAAATCTGCAAATGCGAACAACGACAGTGATAATTCAACAAAATGAACGCAAGAGATATGGTTGCAAACTTCGAAGAAGCAAATACGATAAATCCGCTGGTTTACCAGGTTTGAACTATTATCGCCAAAGTTGGCGATGTTTACATTTACCGGGTTCTCTGCGGAAGTGCTTCCGAATTATTATGTGCATAGTTGTCAGAGTTTGGCATTTTGAAAATTTTATGACTTCTACTAAGGTAAGCATTTCTTTATCCAAAGACCACTTTTGTAAATCAGAATATTTTGCAGAGCACTTTACTTTTGTTCCTTTAGAAAGCAGTTTTTTTTAGCATATGTTACTACCAGTATGCATATATTTTTTAAATAAAATTAATTAAAATTCATTTAATTTTATATTGCTGTTAATCAGAGCCAGGACTAGGGTGATAAAGTGAGGCACTTGCCTTAGTGGAATAACTATGAGAGGTGCCAAATTGACAACAAAAATTTAGAAATTCATTTTAAAGAAAGAAACAAGGATTATTAACTTTCAATTCCAGAACACATCAAGAAGTATCAAAATTTTATGTTATACAGTCAAAAGTCGTTAATTCGGACACCCATAATCCAGAATGATCTATAATCCGGACCTCAAAGCTACAAACTTTCTGCGCATGTGCATAGGCGTTTACGCATGTGTGTAAGGCCTTTATGGCTGCGCATATGTTTACGCTTGCGCGTTTAATGTATAACGGATGGTATAAGCTAAAATTATCTAATTATGTATTTCAGTTAATTTGCAGATTGCGTTGTTCCTTAATCTTCGAATTAGATCCGGCTTATTATTTTTTGCAGACTGTTAGAGCAATTTTATAAAAGTAAGCTTGAATTTCGATTATGTCAAATAGAATTTCCGATGCTGGAGCTCCCAAAGGATCTACAAAGCGAAAGTATGTTTTGATGTCCATCAAACAAAAAGTGGAATTTCCGCAAAAAATGGATAAAGGCATATCCTTTGTTTCTCTAACCATTCTGAAATCTGTTTATCAATTTTACGCTGCTCTGCTGCGGGGGGGGGGGGGATGCCGCGGCACGCAATGAATTGGAAGTTGATCTGTCAGCACTATCCTTATCTTCAGGGCAGATGTTTTTATTTTATTTGGCTTATAATTCCTTACTAAATGTAGTATTTCATCTCGATGTAATCCGTCTTTGATATGATTTAAATCAAATTCCTCGTCATTATAATTCGCTTCCGGTAAAGAAAGTGACACAGAGGTTATTGAAAACGAAAAAATTTCGATTGACAAATTAGTCGGTATTCTTGACACAGCAATTATAGGACTTGAACAGCGGAACTTTGTAACTTAACAAAAAATTATGTCTGTTTATAGAATTAAAGAGAAAGTATTATCACATAAAACGAAGCAACTTAAACAACTTTACATTGAAAGAAATGTTTAATAAAGTAAACAAATAAATATTAAGCCTTTTTTTTTTTTTTTGTAAATTTTGATACTCTTTAGATCATAATTCTTCTTTATTTCATAAATTATGGTTTTATATTTTTTATTTTATAATTTCTGCATGCCATCTTACCAGATTTAAACTGATGATCTATAATCCGGAATCGCCGAAGTCCCGACAAGTACGGATAAACGACTTTTGACTGTATAACAATCCGGCTGAATTAAGTGCAAAATTAATAATGTTAATTTATTCTAATACTGTTATTTTATAGCACAATATACTAAGCTGTTAAAAAATTATTGAGCCTTCCCCCCCTCCTCCCGCATAAACCGATGAAGCACTGGAGATTTTCTTCAGTGTAATATGTAGAGGGGACATTCATGCGCATTTGTGAATTTTTTCCCCGCCCATGGAAAGTATCAGTTGCTAGCAATCTGGCAACGAGTGAATACATGTAGTGAGCATTTATCGAATTTTGGCGTTTGTGGAATGATTGAAAAATAACTAGAAAATTTGAGCAGTGATATTGCATCAAATTTTGCCAAAAGTTTGGCAATACCTAAACAGAAACCATTTGCAAGATTCAGCAAGCTTTCAGAGACAATTCTATGAGAACTTGTCGCATCAAGGAGTGGTACAACCACTTCAAAGATGTCTTCAGAGACTCATCAGTGGACAGGGAACCACATTCAAATAGGCCCTTAACAAACTGGAATGAACATGTCGTTGAGAGAGCTCTGGTCTTGCAGGATCATTGTATCACAGGTAAAAAAATTGCAAGTGAGACAAAAGTAAGCATCCCATCAGTCATTCAAGTTTTCAGAAGTAGTTAGGCATGAGGAAAGTGTCTGTAAAATTTGTACTGAAGCTGCTAACAATGGAGCAGAAGC